TGACACTGCAGAATGACCTTATTTTGTGACCATTGCGCAGATTAAAACATTGTCAAGAGGCTTATGCTGCCTCCTCCATTAATGTGTGAAGGTCACTTGGAAAACCAATAAAAATAAGTTATTTGATTATGTATGTGTATCCCATGGATGGTACGCAAGTACCTATTAATGTGAGCCTCAGTGGCATTAAATGTTTGTCCATGTATATATGTTTCCTCTGCCACCTCATGCTCCTGTAGTAATGTAAAGAGGATAGGACAGAACAGTCATGACCCTCCCTCCATCCTCTTTCTTGACCATGGTAGTGAGGTGAACTCTGCCAGTTCTTCCCTTTGGCTGTACAACAGGCAAGAGATGTTTAATGCATTGTAAAATCGCAACTAAACAAGTCCTTTTCCACATCATTGTGTTGTTACGTAACACACAAATCTATTTGTCTAGATCAGGGGACTTCATTTCCCAGCAGCCCCTGCCTGCGTTGCTGCAGCTGGTTTCCTTGGAGACCCTAGGAGCTGTGGAGCTGTGATAGCTGGGGCCAGGGTTTTCCATGAAGACCAGCCCCAGTAATGCTGGCAGGGTGTGCAGCAGGGCAGGGAGCTGCTCCAGGGCTAGAATCCTGTGGTGGTGACAGCCTGCAAGCAACAGATTGCAGCTCTGCTCCGGCTCTGGACCATGCTGTCACCACCACTGGATCTCTGCCCCAGATCAGCTTCCCACCCAGCCACGTACCCCACCAGCGCTGCTAGGGCTGGTCTCCATGGAAACCCTGGCCCTGTGCTGTCATGGCTCCAAGGCTCCTGGGGTCTCCATGGAAACCAGCTGCAGCAATGTGGGTAGGAGCTGCCGGGAAATGGAGCCCAGGCACTGGCCAGATCGGCCATTTTTTCCATCCCTAGTCTAGCTCCTTACCTCTTCTCGTGTCAAAACAAAATTCTGATTTCACTTACATGGTACTGGACAGCTCTTCTGAGCTCTTTCTCAATGTTCCCTCCTCATGTCCTGTCCTGACCTGTACTCTGCACACTTTACACAACTTGATACTTTCTTTGTCTCCTACTCTTAGGTTCACTTCCAGAGACCCGCTGGCACCCTTCTCTCTGCTTATGGATCCCTTGTTCAGACTCATTTCTGGCTGGCTTTTCTCTTTCATCTTTTACCTTAGTGGTAGTTTCTTCTGCTTAACCATAATTAATACTAATAGCCTGGTCTTTCAGATATAAATTTTTATTTTGTATTTTCTTATGTTACCCTTGTCATTTCTCCTTGCATGTCTTAGATTGGGATCTCTGAATTTCTGATGAGTGTCATGCACACCTGTGATGCACCCTCACTATTTTATAGTAATATTGCTTCTCTTTATGTGTTTCAGCGGAGGAGAAGGCTCGGGAGGCAGAGAGCAAAGCACGTGCCCTGGAACTGTGCCTGGGAGGGGATCTCACACGGGAGTCCAGGGTGAGATTTCTGCATCTAGCTGTTTGCTCCAGTTTTTGCTGGTTGGAGGTGCCAGCCTCCTTGGATTGAGTGAAGTTTTCATAGATTTCATAGACATTAGGTCTGGAAGGGACCTCGCAAGATCATCGAGTCCAGGTGATTCCATAGGCCTTGTTTTGCGTAACTAGGAATCTCTGTAAATCGCACCTGAAGTGCCCCCCACAGCAGCTCCTTTAATGTTTTTTATTTTGCCACTTGCCCTCCTCCTCTTCCCCTCCCCCTGCCACGAATCGGGGGTTGGTGGAGGGCAAGCAGCGAAATGAAGCATATTAAAATGGGCAGATGAAAACCTGATGTCATTTAACACCAAAAAATGCAAGGTACTCCACCTTGGGGGCAAAAACCCCACAGCATGCTTATAGGCTTGGCGATGCTATGCTTGCTAGAACCATGGGACTTGTGGGTCATGATTTGACCACAAGATGAATATGAGCCACCAGTGTGATGTGGCAGTTGGTGAAGTGAGCAAAACTCTGGCTTGCATCCATAGATGCTTCTCAAGCAAATCCCAGGATGTCATCCTCCTGCTGTACTTGGCCTTGGCGAAGCCAAAGCTGGAGTACTGCATCCAATTCTGCACTCCACAATTTAAAAAGGATGTGGAGAAGCTTGAGAGAGTCCAGAGGAGAGCCATGCACATGATCAAAGGACAGGAGAACAGGTCTTATGATGAGAGGCTGAGAGCTATGGAACTCTTCAGCCTGGAAAAGCGCAGAGCACCCCAAGGGAAGACAAGGTCAAATGGTCACAAACTCCTCCAAGACCGTTTCAGGCTGGCCATAAGGAAGAACTTCTTTACTGTCCGAGCCCCCAAGGCCTAGAACAGACTGCCGCCAGAGGTGGTGCAAGCGCTTACTCTGGACTCCATTAAGAGACATTTGGACGTTTATCTTGCTGGGATCCTTTGACCCCAGCTGACTTCCTGCCGCTGGGGCAGGGGGCTGGACTTGATGATCTCCTGAGGTCCCTTCCAGCCCTAATGTCTGAAATCTAAAGGAGCCACTGCAGGGGGTATTTCCAGTGTGATTTATGTAGAACCCTATGCATAACTAATGCAGCAACCTGGTTTGTGAGATCACTTTGCATTTTGGTAAGATGTTGAAAACCAAGTTTCTTAGCCTCCAGTACAACTTGTGTGAGATGACATATTGGTTTCAGTTTCCTGGACATATTCTTTTCTGCTTTCCTAGATGCCCCTTTGAATTTCAGTTCTGAACAGCATTCCTTTTCTTCTACTCACCTCTGTATTGTTGCAGTAGGTTGTGAACAGTTGCTATACTTTACTGATGCAGTTACTGCTCTTTATAGTAACTTGTGGTGCAGTTTTGTTGTTGTTTACTCTCTGAAGTGTTCTAGCATGCTTGGTAAGAAAAGATGCAATAGAAAAGAGAGTTAAGTTTATGTATTGGGAGACTTTGGTCTTATTGTGAAATGCTTCATATTTGCAGGTGACTCTACGGCAAGTCCAGAACTCAGCCATAACTTTGCGTAGAGAGGCTGATGTCAAGAGGCGAATCAAGGAGGCAAAGCAGCGGTGAGCACAACGCTACTCTAGGCTTTGTTTCCTAGGCTGTTACCCAGTATCCTACTCGCATTGCAGCAGTGTTCCTCAGTACCTTGTCTCACTTCAGGGCCAGCTCTACATAGCTGTGTGGGAGGAGCCACATCCATTGCTGATCTGATCCTTGTATAGGGTGTTCAGAATGGTGCACTAGAGGTGCACCAGTATGTCGTTTGGCTATCGGATTGGCACCGATAAAAGGAGAAATTAAGTTATCAGCTATCAGCTTTTTTTGGTTGTTGCAGTCGATAATTGTGGCTGCATGCCCAGAGCACCTTAGTGAGCGTAGTAGTCCAGTCCCCAAGCCCTCAGCAAACCTACAGGTCCTGACAAGCAGTGGGAGGAGAAGGGGGCACCCGGGAATGGTCATAGAGCATTGCACTTAGCAACAAAGGGACCATTATGGGGTCCTCCTGCTGCTGCTGCCACTGCCATGGCAATGCTGCATGTGCAGCAGGGGCCTGAGTGCTAGGACTGCTGCGGAGACATTGGGCGGCAGGTGGGCGGGGTAAGGCACCATGTGAGAGACATTCTCCTCTGCTGGACACCTTTGCAAAAGAGGCTTTGCCTTGGTAGCTGTGGGAGCTCGGCTGCATGGGACCCATTGGTGCTAAGGCAATGCCCTGCTCTGGGGCTGTAAACATGCTTGGTATCTCTGTCTGCACGAGGGTCCGCCCTATCTGCTCAGGGCGGCATTATGGGCTGCGAGGGAACAGGGCTGCTGGTAAGAGCCATGGGTGAGGGAGTGACATGCATGGGCATGAGGTGGGCACTGCCTTCCTTATCAAGGGCTGGAGCAGACAGGAGGCGCACGTGTTATAAATGCAAAGCAAAGAAAGGTTAATATCAGTAGTTTAAAATGTCTGGCAGTATTTTTAAATATCGGTTATTGGATCAGCATTGTCTGATATGGTTAGTTAGTCATTAGCTATCGGTATCAGCCAAGAAAATCTTTATCGGTGTACCGCTGTGGTGCACCATTTGTTAAGATGACCTTCTTGTTTCAATAGCTTGACTCTTCTCCTGTGTCCCTTTTCCTACTCACTACAGTGTAGCCTGATACTTGCTGTTTATCTGTAGAGGCTTGTCTCTTGGTCAGGCTTTCTCTTTATATTCTTTTAGTCCTGTGTTTTGTATTAGTGCATGGTGATTCCCAGGGGATTAATCACAAAGGGTAGTTTATTATTTTGGAGTGGCCTTCATGGCATGAGCCAAGCTTTATTGAGAATCATACAATCTTGCAATCTACATTATGAGATCCCAAGAGATGGTTGACTTAATTTGGTCTGAATCAACTTAATTATCCAGTTTCTCAAGGAACTTGACTGTAGGTACAAAAGCTGCAAACTTATTCCCCTGCAACATCTTCTCAAATGTAAAGATAGGAACCGAGAGGGATATGTCAAGCTGCGCTGGATAGACACAGTAGCTGGAAACTTAAGTTATGAAGAGCACTGCAAAATGCAATGTTGAACTGAATTACTTATAATTAAAGTTTAAAATTTGGTAGCACTGAGGTCAGTGCAGATTCTCATCTAGGCCCTTGAGACTAGTGTGATCTTAGAGGCTCATGAAGCTGCTGCTGTTGCTTTTATGTTCTGGTAGCTGGCTTCATTATGAGAAAATGAGAGGTTAGGGCTTTCTACACAAGTGTAATTAAAGGGGTTACACTCTTAATATAGTAGCCACACAGTGCTGTGATTTGGTTTGCCTTAGTGGATGGGACCAGATCATTTCAAGTACATAACCTAATAATGGCATTACGTCTGTAACACGATTTCACAACATGGTTATTATGTAGTTTGGCCTAGTCTGTGGATGCATCAGATACTACAGTATGATTGGAGGACTGGATGAGAACAGGATGGGTTTCAACACAGACAAGTGCAAGGTGCTGCACCTGGGGAGGAAGAACCAGCAGCATACCTACAGGCTGGGGAACTCGCTTCTTGTCAGTGCAGAGGCAGAAAAGGATCTTGGAGTCATTATTGATGCCAGAATGAACATGGGCCGACAGTGCGGGGACGCAGTCAGGAAGGCCAACCGCACCTTGTCATGCATCCACAGACGCATCTCAAGCAGGTCCAAGGAAGTGATCCTCCCCCTCTATGCGGCACTGGTCTGGCCGCAGTTGGAGTACTGCATCCAGTTCTGGGCATCGTACTTCAGGAGGGATGTGGACAACATGGAGAGGGTCCAAAGGAGGGCCACCTGCATGATCGGGGGCAGCAGGGCAGGCCCTATGAGGAGAGGCTACGGGACCTGAACCTGTTCAGCCTCCACAAGAGAAGGCTGAGGGGGGGATTTAGTGTCCTGTTACAGACTAGTCAGAGGGGACCAGCAGGCGTTGGGGGAATCTCTGTTCCCCCGAGCACCACCAGGAGTGACTAGAAATAACGGTCACAAGCTGGCAGAGGGTAGATTCAGACTAGACATCAGGAGGCGCTACTTCACAGTCAGGGCGGCTAGGACCTGGAATCAACTTCCAAGGGAAGTGGTGCTGGCTCCTACCCTGGGGGTCTTTAAGAGGAGGCTAGACAAACACCTTGCTGGGGTCATTTGACCCCAGTACATTTTCCTGCCATGGCAGGGGGTCAGACTTGATCTGCTCAGGTCCCTTCCGACCCTACCAACTATGAAACTATGACTGTTGTGCCATCACGTGGTAGTTTTGCCTGTGGGTTATTAGAAGAAAACAGCATTAGACTCTCTCCATGTACAGCCAATCTCCAGTGTTTCAGAGAAAGCTGTGTGCAAAAGAGTCAAACATACTTTTGGGGGAATTTTATTTTTGGCCTGCAGATATCTGGCTGAAGTCCTGAAGTATGAAAATGTATTTACAATAACTGACTTAATTCAGAATTGCAAGTGGTACAAGCTTGTTGAGGACAATGCAAGCAATCCTGTTTTTCCCAGGACCAGTGAACAGGGTGGGTAAAAAATTGCAATCTTTTTTTAATTTAAACACGCAGCCGCCACCACGCCACGCCGCTTCCCTGCAGAGCTGTGGCTACAGAGTTGTGCTCACAGAGCTGTGCGGCTAGCCATGGGAAGGTAGCGCAGGGCACAGCAGTGAAGTGCCATGACAGCCTCTGTGTGCAACACCCCCCCCCCCGCCC